ACCTACCTGGCTTTAATGGATAGTGGGACTTGAACTTATAGTTTATGCTTTGCCTTTTTTACGAAGTGTATACAAATTTATTTTTCCTTTTATAGGAAACATTTTGCTTCCTATTTTATTACAGGTAGTTAAAAGCAACTACTTTTTAGTTAGCTCCTGGCAAAATTAAAACTAACCTGAGGCCAACTGGATTTATGTCTAATTCCATCCCTATCAGGGTTCCAAATAGCATCCTCTGTAAAATAATATTTTGAGGCAAGAGATTCCTCAAAACACCAATTTATTAGAAGAGCCATGTTGGCACAGGGGCACATGGGTTGAAAGTTCAAAACCCTGCCCCAACACCCACTAGTCCATCACATGGTCCAATCAGTCATTGCACAAATGAAGATTCCTCTTATCCACATCCATCCAGGTGCGGGGATGAGGCGACCTTGGCTTTCTGAGAGGGAATGTTATTTTGGCTACACATCTCCCAAGCTCCATACCATCCCCACTCCCAGTTCCCTATAGTTACTATGTTTGAATATGTGGCAGGCTTGAGGCCCTATTCCCCCCCCCATAGTATAGCAAAACTAAAACCAACCTGAGGTCAGCTAGATTTACGTCTAACTCCATCCCATTTAAATCAATAGAACAAATGTGTCCTGACTGTTGTTTCGTCAAGACATAAAATCCAATTTCACACATTCGTGTTTCAAAATAGGTTCCATTATTTTCAATACGATTTGCTCTCAAGTAAGTATATGTAAGATTATCATCTCATATGGCAACCCAGAATGTATTTACTTCAGATTTATTCATGCTCTGTTCTATTTGGCAGACTTTCTCCATGGTAAGTAATTGCAAGATTGCTGTTTTAGTTGCAACTGATTTGGTTAGGCTTGGGATCAGTGCAAAACTCCATGGATTAGTCTAAACATTGATGATCTAATATCCAAAAGTTATGTTTGTGATAGAATTTTAATCTACTCAAAGCTGAATACACAGAAATAAATAGTAGAAGGTTTCTGAGAAAACAGACCTTCTGATAGAATAAAAAAAGTACTTTTTGGTTGATTTTTAGGAATAAAGACCATCCTGGTCCTTTAAAGTCAGTGGAAGTTACTTGTGAAAGTTATCAATGAAAATGTTCCAAATGATATTTCTCCCCTCTCCTGCCCAGAATTTCCAGCCATTTTCACTCAGAGGATGAATTAAAATTGAGTACCTAGTTGATTGCCACCTGCAAATGGAAGATTGGATGCAGAAAGAAACACAATTGGTTGCACATGCAGGGTATTTAGAATTGATTCACTGAAATGTAGTTTGATTCATTGGAGTTAAAAATTTGGACTTTCAAGCGTTTTTTAAAATATAAATATAGTTTAAACTTCCCAAACTTTGTGCCATCCATACAAGTACATTTCAACTGCTATCATTCCCAACTAATATTACATGTGTACATGCTGGGTGGAAATGATGGGAAGTGAAATCAACCACATCTGGAGAGAGACACATTGGGAAACACTTTTTATCATACAGTTGATAAATGCAGATGACGTCATTTGGCTAACTGATATTGGGGTTGGAAGTGAGTTTGTTTACACAACTTTTTAAAATAGATTTTGGCAATTTTTAAAGGAATATAACCCATAAACAAACGTTCTTTTCTCAGTTTCTCTCCCACACAGGAGAAAACTTTTTAATCTTAGTGACTCATTGGGGGGAGACCTACAATGTGTGTTTCAGCTCGTTCAGTCTGCATTAAATAAATCTTAATTTCATTGTTTTCTTTGAAAAAGTAGCATCTGCTTTTAAGAAGCCAGCTCAAGATAAATACCATGCAAATTTCAACCTACAATGTCTTTCAGAATAGTGAAATCTTAAAGGGAAAAACAATTCAAGAAAATTAGGAAATTCTTTAAAATGTGATAATTAAGGCCCAAGCTTAATACCAAGCAATACCAAAGAAAAAAACAAATGGGAATCATTTGTTGAAACTGGCATAGTTGCATAAGAAAGGTCTCTGATTAACTGAGAAACCAAAAGGACAAATGGAAAGGCATATAACAAAAGCAGAATATCAGGAAACAGCTTGAATCTATAAGGAAGACAAAGGCTTAGAATGAACTGAGGCTTGTTTTGAACATCAAAAGTAACACATAAAAAAGCATTCTTTGGATGTGTGTGGAACATAAAGAAAGTCAAGAAATGGGTTGATCTGCTGGCTGGTATTGGCAAGGTAGTGATTTGCAATATGAGGAAGGCTGAACTGTTTAACTCCTAGTTTGAAACTGTCTTCGCAAAAGAAAAAAGGATCAATTGGTCAAAAACCACAGAAGAGAAATGCAAATCAAAATATGTAAGGAAAGAATATCTAGTTATTTTGGGTGAATTCAAGTCTCTGGAACAACATTGGTGCTGAACAAGCAGATCTTGTCTCAGAACCACTGGCTACAATCTTTGAACCCCTGAAATATAAGGGAACTTCCAGTAAGATTGGCTAATCTTGTTAAAAGGGGGAAGATGGGATCTGGGAAACTAAATTTAACAGACTTAGATGAGGAGATAGAAGGGATGCTTATTGAATTTCAAATAATATAAAGGTGGGAGAATAGCTGACACCTCAGAAGATAGGTGAATCTTGATAGATTTGAATATTGGGTCCTATCCAGTGGTGGGATTCAGCCAGTTTGCACCACTGGTTCAAACTGAACTGGTTGTTAACTTTCTGGGCAGTTTAGTGAACTGGTTGTTTTAAGAAAACATTAGGGCAGAGAACCAGTTGTTAAATTATTTGAATCCCATCACTGGTCCTATCCACACTATATATTAAATGGTGAGATATATAAGACTCTGAACTTTGGCAGG